TCTCTCTGGACTGGAAAAATGGAACATGCATGAACCTTTGTTGTTTTGTGGCTCATGCCTCCCTCTATTAAAATGTATGAATTCTTGATGTCCAATTTCAAATAATGCAGAAGTGTGTAGAGTGAAAACTACAATTCTCCCTTTGTCCCTCATCCCACTCTCCCGGCCCCGAGTGTTATACTTACTGCAGATCTTTCTCTGTATGCTTTTATGGACGTATGTTTACAAAGACAAGTACACATCATTTAAAATTTTTTTCTACGCAGATGGCATTGTACTCTGTGTGTGCGTGTATGTGCGTGTGCGTGTATGTGCGTGTGCGTGTATGTGCATGTGCGTGTTTCCTTCCACTGAGCAGCACGTTCCATGTTCGTGAAGGCAGGCTGCCCTCTCTACAGCCGAGCCGTGCTCCAGACTGGGCGTACTGCACTCTATGGAATCGTCTCTCCATTGATGGACATTCATGTTGCCCCTAATTTCTGCTAGTGCATAGATACTGCTTTAATAAACATCTTGTGTGTACGTTTGGGGACACGTACTATTTCAAGAAGAGAAATGTGTGAACTTCCAAACGCACAGGACTGGGAACATCTTTTGTTCTGAGCCCCCTTTTCATTCTGTCTCGAATCTTCATGCAGAAGCCTTAAAACCTGAGTGTGAGAAGTGGGTCTCACCCCGCAGCCTGCCCTGGCGTGGGCGCTGACCCGTGGAGAGGCTGGCAGTGGGCAGGTTTGATTAACTCCCAGAAATTTCCCTTATGTCCTGGCCCCCAGTGGGAATGGAATTGCTGGTCGGTCCAGCAGAGGTGACTGGGCTGAGTGGGGTGAGGTCCCGTGGTTACCAGCCGTCCCTGCTTCCCGGCACGGACAGACCTGTGGACTGGCTGCAAGTCCGCACTGTGTCTGGGTACGAGGACCTGGGCCAGCCGGTCCCGATGTGGGCGGACGCAGTCAGCTCTCTCTGTGTCGGATGAGGTAATCCCCTGCTTTTGCTTGAGGGGAGCCGAGGTTCCCTAGCGGGGCACTCCGGGAGTTCATCAGAGCCCCCTCCCTCCCTCTCTCCACTCTCAGATTTTGCAGGGGGCTTTGTCACCAGACCGTGGGGACCCAGGGGCCCTGGGTCGACATTTCATAGTTTGCCCTGTCGTACTTCTGTGCATATCGGGGACTCCGAGGGCGTCACTTGTTAAGATCTAAGCAGGTCACTTAGGAAGGTCCTCTGCTCGAACGGTGAACGCACACCCCCAGCGAGTGGCCTTAAATGCAAGTGGCCCAGCCCAGCCCAGACGTCCTGCACACGGGCCGGGCAGCAGGGCTTTGTTGCAGACCACATTCCACACTACATGCAGCTCCCCGTGTTCAATGACGGGATTGTCTTTGTCACATAATAATCTCTTTTCTGGAAACACTCCTTGTTTGTGTCTGAAACCTAATGCATGGAAAATACTGCAATGACAAAAGGCTAAGCTATTGGGTGGTGGTGTTGTTTTCTTGTTTTCTGTTTTCCCTTGCTCTCCGCTGAAGTTTGCAGAGGATCGATGACTGCACTGTCTGCGCAGTCTCCTCCCCATGCCCCCTTCCTCCGCCTGACCGCCGGAACCTTCTGCAGGGGGCAGAGGGAGGCCCATTCAGGCCCCTGAAGGTGAGTGGTCAAGGTGTGGGCCTCTGGCTTCATCTCTTGGCCAGTCCGAGCCTGGGCTGCCCATTCCCCAGGCTGGCCGGTGCTCAGCGCTTGACGGTCATTGATCAGTGGTTGATGGCTGGTGACAGGTGATCGGCGTGCCCCGCCCCCCCGCCTCTGCTCTGTCCTCCAGCCCCTGGCAGGCACAGCGAGGCCCTGCTGGAAGTTTCCCGCTGTGCCGCCCTGGCAGGGGCGGGGAGAGGATGGCCGAGGGAGGTGTGCCCAGCTCAGAAATCCCCTGCAGAGCGGGCAGGGAATGTGGCCGTCACAGCACTGACTCAGAGGACAAGTCATCACTAAATCAAATTTTCTTTTTCCAGAGGGCAGAGGCAGAAACCCCGGGGTAGGGGGGTGTGTCCCTGACCCCTGCCCACCTCCCCCCACTGTTCTGGGCTCTGAGAACACCTGGGGCTGCAGCCCGGGGCTCGCGTGCTTGAGCGTCTGCTTTGTGGGAAGAGTGGGAGGCCCCACAGGGCATGCTGGCGACAGGAGAGCCAGGCGTCTTCTCATTCCGTGACCCTGCCCCCACGCGGCCTGGCGCCCCTGCACCTGGCAAGTCCTCGCTGGAGGGCGTGGAGGCCCAGCAGAGCAAGGTCTCCGCGGCGTGAAGCGAGTGTGACTCGAGCGGTGGGGCAGGCTCAGGACCCAGGTTCTGGCAACAAAGGCCGGGGGTCGCTCCTTTCTTTCCTTCCCGCCCCGTGAATGGCCCGAGAGCCCAGGATTTACGGCTGCTTTTGCCGAAGCCAGCGGCTGTGCCGGTGGGGGCAGAGGGAGGCGCCCAGGGCAGGCGCCGGCTGCGCCATGGGGCGGTGGCTTGTCCTGCACCCCAGCACCTCTGCTCCCCGGGGAGCCGGGGTCAGATAGGATCGTGGGGCGAGAGTGTTTTAGAAACCAAGCCACACTGCAAATGTGTCTCGTTTTAAGTAAACGGGACAAGGACAAAGGGTCACTGCATTGCAGCCACGCAGGAAAGCAAGGCCGAGACTGTCGCGTGGCTCTCTCGGGAATCCGGACGCAGAGTGGAGGGTCGGCACCAGGCGGTTTGGAGCCCGGGGAGGTGGCAGTGGCCGCTTCAAGGCACCGTCTGGGCAGGCTGTCTGCCCTGGGGCAGGTCTGGCAGGTCAGGGAGGCCCAGTCTCTCCCAGGCGTCCTCTGCAGCCCTCCTGGCCCAGGTAATTTTGGAGTCCTTAGAGCTGTGTCTTAGGACCAAGCGTTCCAAAGTCCTCATTCGAGTTTATTTGTCCTCAGCTTGATCTTGTGCCTCTCCATGGGTGCTGTGCGCGTGTGTCAGGCTGTGCAGCAAGCTGGTGGTCACAGGGCTTGAGCCCTCCCTCCCGGCAGGGTGGCTCTGAGGACGGCCAGGTGTGTGGCCTGTGTCTCCTGCCTCAGTGGGCCTTTGGAACGGGCAGGGACTGTGGCCATCACAGGAGGACGCTGTGGTCCGGCTAGGTCACCAGGAGGGACCCACAGCTGTTCAGTCCCTCGGGGCGGGGGGTGGGGGAGGACACTACCCAGAAGCTGCGGTCGGGGGTCCAGGTCGGTCACCAGCTTGAGTTCTGAGGCTGCGGGGGTGACCCTGGGGGGCGACCCTGGGGGGCAGCGGAATTTCTCACTGCTCGGAGATTCTGTCCATGCCGTGCCAAAGGAGAAGGTCCTCAAGCGCCCAGTCTTCGGGTGAGCTCGTGAACCCCCCACGCTGGGAATATTTATTACTCAGCCAGCGAGCGCCAGTTTCCAGCGTAGGAAAGAGTGAAGTGAGGTTCCGCTTTTCACTAAAGGGGAAAAACTGCCAACCTCGGGCTGGAGAGTCCCCGGGGTCGCGGCTCGGCCAGGGAGGGAGAAAGGTGAGGTTTTGTTGGGTGCCTGCTGTGGGCCAGACTCTGTGTTAGCCTTTAGCCCCACCCAGGGTGTCTATGTGGAGGGAGGTGGCCCCAGGCAGGGTCACTGACTGCTCTCAGGCTAGACACTAACGAAGAGAGGAGCCTGAATCCCAGCCAGGAGCACCTGCTCTGGCAGGTGCGTTCCCAGCTGTGGCTTCTCACACCGCTGGCATGGCAGCCTGGGCATCCACCCACTGCCCGCTGTCCTTGATCCTCCAGGCAGCTCTCGGTGTAACCTGGAGTCCACTTTACCTGAACTGGGCAAGTAAGCTCGACTCCAGGTCAGTCCTTACCTGTGACAGGTGAGGGGGAAACAGGGACAGCCACCAAACTGTGTCATTTCCAACAGTGCCCCGGGGGCTGGTCTCTTCATTTCGTACTCCCCCGTAATGGCACAGTGGGGCTCGGGCTGGGTAACCTGCTGACCCAGGACCGCAGCCAGATGGACAGTAGAAGACAGCCCTGGTAGCTCTTGTGGTCGGTCAGTCTGGAGAAATCACTTCCAGATCTGTGGCTACCTTCTCCCTGGGTGTTGAATGGCAACACCTGGAGTGCTGGCCTCACGTCAGGTCAGAAGGGAAAAAACAGTTGAGAAAATCATCAGCCCTCCAGAAATACGGCAGGTGTTGATTTTTGTGCTCTGGGTCTTGGCACAAGTTGCTCTTGGAGCAGTTGAACAAATAAAGGAGTGGAAAACCAGGCGATGGCTCAGTGCTGGAGACAGCTGGTTGATTTCCCTCAGTTGAAAACCACACGGTGAGCTCCAAGTCTGCAGGTTTGGGGTATAGTGCAGCTGCAGGGTACTCCACACCTGCTCACCCTGTTTCCATAGGTCTTCACCCCACTGCAAGGTGAAGGCCGCCTAAGGCTCAGGTTCACGTGAATTTAGCAGAGAGATAAAAAGCACTGAGTCACATTCTAAATGCAAATGTGGAAGAGGATTTGAAGTGCTTTCACGAGGACACCACAGCAGGACACTGTAATACAGCAGTGACAGGAACAGATCCACCCTGCCATTCTGCGGGGACAGAGATGAAGTGGCTCCTCAGCCCCCTGCCGAGAGAGCAGACCGTTGGCCTTGCCGTGGCCGCAGCTCAGCGGCCTGACGTTTCCTTGGCCCCTGCGCTGTGTGGACTTCACACCCTGGCACGGGCGGGCTGACCATGCCATGAGAACACAGCCACGAAAAGACACAGAAGGCAAACTCTGGTTTTCTCTTGGAGCCCCACGCGGATTTAGATTCTGGATATGTTTTATTTTGTTTTGGAGAATTCTATTACGGTTCTTCTCTCCTCTCTCTGCAAAGACATTGCCGGGCTAAAGCGAAACAGCTGAGCGTATCGGGGCACTTGGAAAAGCGTCCTGCCTGAGCTTGAGTTTTTTCTAATGAAGTGATTTTTCTTCTCGCCCATCTTTTTTGTTTGTTTGGTTTTCCCGCAGGTCCTTTGATTGCTCCCCTCGAAACCATGGATCTGCATCTCTTTGACTACTCGGAGCCGGGGAACTTCTCCGACATCACCTGGCCCTGCAACAGCAGCGACTGCATCGTGGTGGACACGGTGCTGTGCCCCAACATGCCCAACAAGAGCGTCCTGCTGTACACGCTCTCCTTCATCTACATCTTCATCTTCGTGATCGGCATGGTCGCCAACTCCGTGGTGGTCTGGGTGAACATCCAGGCCAAGACCACGGGCTACGACACGCACTGCTACATCCTGAACCTGGCCATCGCAGACCTGTGGGTTGTCATCACCATCCCGGTCTGGGTGGTCAGCCTGGTGCAGCACAACCAGTGGCCCATGGGCGAGCTCACGTGCAAGGTCACCCACCTCATCTTCTCCATCAACCTCTTCGGCAGCATCTTCTTCCTCACCTGCATGAGCGTGGACCGCTACCTCTCCATCACCTACTTCTCCAACACCTCGAGCAGCAGGAAGAAGATCGCGAGACGCGTCGTCTGCGTGCTGGTGTGGCTGCTGGCCTTCTGCGTGTCGCTGCCGGACACCTACTACCTGAAGACCGTCACGTCTGCGTCCAACAACGAGACCTACTGCCGGTCCTTCTACCCCGAGCACAGCATCAAGGAGTGGCTGATCGGCATGGAGCTGGTCTCCGTCGTCTTGGGCTTTGCCGTCCCATTCTCCATCATCGCCGTCTTCTACTTCCTGCTCGCCAGGGCCATCTCGGCTTCCGGCGACCAGGAGAAGCACAGCAGCCGGAAGATCATCTTCTCCTACGTGGTGGTCTTCCTGGTGTGCTGGCTGCCCTACCACGTGGCGGTGCTGCTGGACATCTTCTCCATCCTGCACTACATCCCCTTCACCTGCCAGCTGGAGCACGCGCTCTTCACGGCCCTGCACGTCACGCAGTGCCTGTCCCTGGTGCACTGCTGCGTCAACCCCGTGCTCTACAGCTTCATCAACCGCAACTACAGGTACGAGCTGATGAAGGCCTTCATCTTTAAGTACTCAGCCAAAACGGGCCTCACCAAGCTCATCGATGCCTCCAGGGTCTCCGAGACAGAGTACTCTGCCTTGGAGCAGAGCGCCAAGTGACCCTCCCTGCAGGGGCCCTGGGACACGTGTGCTGGTTTGGAGCCGGGCCTCGGGCCGCCTGGTTTTCTAGAGTAAAGCAGAGTCGCTTCGGGTCTTGACGCTGGAGTGGCGTGAAGAGGGAAGCAGGTGGCGTTGCGCATCTTCTCCTCCCTTTCTTGTGACGGATGCGGCTGTCCCTTGGCTGTGTGTCCTGGCAGTTGTGTGACGGGCAGTGCTGCGGTGTGTCCAAGCGGCTTCAGGACGGGCTTGCCCGGACTCCTGTAAGATAGGACTCTCGGTGTTCCCTGAATTTGTTTTGTACCGTGATTTGTATTTAAATGTTAAGACTTTATTTTCTCACTTACTGGTGTACCTTATAAATGTATTTGAAAGTTAAAATATATTTTAAATATCGTACGGGAGGTATAGTGCTGACATATATTCAGAATGTTGTAGTTTTAAGATTAGTTTGACTCCAGTTTTGACTAAGGATGACATTAATTGTTAGCTGGTTTGAAATTTTATATATATATATAAATATATATAAATATATAAATATATGCCAGTGTTGGCTGAAATGTTTTATTTCCATAGTTTTATATCTGTGTGGTGTTTTGTACCAGCGCAAAAACTGCTGCTCTGTAATGCAGTTTGTGAACAAATATAGAACAAAAACTGCTCTGTAATGCAGTTTGTGACATTCATAGTATTATAAAGTTACATATTAAAAAAAAAAAATCAACAAAAAACTGTTCCGGGCTGCAAATCTGTGCACAGAATGAGCAGTTGTATTTCAGAGAGCTCTCTCAATGTGTAAGTTATTTTTTTTTTTAATAAAGATTTTTGTTTCCTAAAAATGCATTATTTGAGCCTCAGTTTTAAAAGCATGTTTGGCATGTAGGTGGCACACATGATGAGGATAAACGTGTGTGTATGGCACACGGGCCCACTGTGTAAATGTGTTTAGAAAAGGAACGCTACCATAAAGCAAAACCCAAGGGGTTAACTTGGATGAAATGATATAAAAAGGGGTGTTTGCTTTCTTGAACAGCATTCAGGCAGTCCCGGGTGTGGTGGGGGCTGGCCGGCAGGTGCAGCCAGATGGCCGCGAGGAGCTGGCGCAGGAGGGGGCGGAATGCTGTCTGCCCAGGGTGGGTTCGGGGCCCAGGAGTCACGTCCTCATCTGCACCACCCGTGTGCTTCCAGGACACACGTCACAGCCCCCTCTGCCTTCCGTCTGGGGTGAGCACCCCTCACAGCGATGCAGCCTACTTGAACTTTCCATTTAAATCGTACCGACCCACCACCCTCTTGAGGCCAGGCACCGAGTGACTTCCTGGCTAGCATGTGCCGTCGCTGGCAGTGTGACGGCGCGCTCTCGGCGCGGCCAGCTCTTGCTGTGCCCCCACCAGCTCCACGTGGAGCTGCAAGGACCCCAGAGAGCTCTGCAGGCAGCCGTCTGGGCGGGCTCTGCCCTCCCCGTCCCCCTCCGGGGAGCCGGCTGTGCACGGAGGACCGTCTGCCAGTGTGATGGTGGACCCCCGTCAGGCGCTCCAGTTCGGCTGTGAGCTCGGGGGCTGCTGCCAGGTGGGAAAGCGCCCTGTGCCTGTGGACACGCCCACGGGCTCGCCGCCGGCAGTCCCCGGGGTCCCCAGGGCTGCACAGATGGAGCCGGCCGCAGAGGCTCCTGTTTCCCGCAAAGGCCTTCGTGGCCTGGAGCTTTGAAACCAGCGTCGTCACTTACTTGGAATGTCCGCTTGGTGCACATGTATGTCCTCAGGTGAGTCTATACCTGGTCTCGCCTCCGATGCCGGGTTCTGGTTAGATGACAGTAATGCAGATGGTGGGCTAATAGCATAGCAGCAGGCCGAGATACCGAGGTGAGGGGGAAATAAGTAGACGGCAACAGGAAGCTGGGGAAAGTGTGGCCCAAGTGTGTGTTCCTCGACAGTGAAATTGGGCCGCACGTTTGCTCCCGAGCCTTCCCGGGGCCCAGGTTCAGACAGAAGCACGCTCTCCAAGTGGTAAATTCAAGCTGGGACGGGAGGAGGGGACGCACATTGCGGTCCCGAGCTCAGCTGAGCCACAGCCACAACCCTCAAGAGCAATTCAGCTTAACTCTATTTTGAGGCCACATCTCAGTCAGATCAGAGGACCCCCCCTTTGCCCTAGATTACAGGTAAGTTTTGGGGAGTGCTGGGGGTGGTACTCGATGGCCGTCTGTCCACACTGGCAGCTGAGATGTCCACTGCCGCCTGGTCCTCACACAGGGGTCCTCTGTCACCCTGTTTCGGTGGCTCGTGCTGCTGTTTCTTGCCTGGCTGGGCCCTGAGATGTTCTTTCCTGCAGCAATGCAGGCTCGGGCACCGCTGGCGGGGGTGGGGGGCAACTCTGAACTGGAGCCGAACTCACTCGGTGGCGCCTTTGCTTTGGTGGGTTGTCCTTGTCCCCACAGGGCCTGGGCACGGTGGCTCTGTTGCCCCAGCCCCTCAGACAGCCCTGGGGTCTCTGGTCTCCAGGCTGCAGGAAAGGAATTCTGTCCCACCCCGTGCACGTGGATGTGGCGGGGGCAGGAGTCTCCTGCAGGGTCTGGTACAGGGGGGAGAAGGGAAGGATGGAAGACCTCCGGCCCTCCTCAACCCCAGGACCAGAGGGCCTGGAACTCTCCCACTCCAGGCTCATTCGTTTGGATTCCTTTTCTCTGCAAAGGCACCAGCCTCCTGGCGTGGTGGGAAAACTGCTAGCGCCGTGGCCTTTGCCCCCCAGGAGGGTGTCCGGAGCCCTGGGCGTAGGGTGGAGCCCCAGAGTCGGGAGGAAAGCAGCTTTTGCTTCCTCGATGGCCCTTCCTGGAGCCTCCGCCCCAGAGAGTGGGGAAAGCTGTTCCTCTCCCCTCCCTCCCGCGACACTCCTCTCCTTGTGATCTGGGGAAACGCCAGAGACGAGCCGGGCAGTGGCCCGAGGCAGCCTGTTGTCGGTGAGTCAGTGTTGCACGCTTTCCATCTGGTTCAACACGAGAGCCGCCCACTTTGATCACACGCCGCGTTCCCTGCAAGTGAAGAAGAAAAACAATGCCACTGAAAACGCCAGACGTAAAATCCTCTGGGCGCACAATCTATTCGCTGGTCTATGGCTACTTTGGGTCCTTCTAGGAGACTCACAGCAACCTGGGAGGGGACCTTGGGGCATTCGTGTTCGGATCTGGCAGAGCAGCTAGAAGTCTGAAACTCTCTGCGGCGGGATACTTTTGGGGGTGTCTCCAGGCGGCAGCAGCTCTGGGGCGTGGCCCTATTTTATTAGGAATATGGAAATTCTACCTTATTGGGCTTCTCTTCTGAGGCTATAAATAATGAGTCCGGGGCACTTCCCATCTAAGCTAAGCACAGTTGCCTGGAGCTCAGGGGAATGCCAGGAGCTGTCAGTCTGCACCGCGTGGGGTGGCTGACGAGGAGTGTGGGCTCCCAGAGTTGCCGCCTGGGGCGCGGGGTTCGCTCCGAGCTCAGGGGGTGCCTCTGCGTGGATACACTCCGCTGAGATTCAGCCCTTCAGGGATGATGGTTTCAGGTGGGCTGGGGGCTTTAAAAGACATACCCATTGTTATAAGCGCCCTTCTCTCTTCCTCTGCCATAGTCCCAGATTTCCCAAGAAAAGCACCTTTAAAAGCTCTCTGGGGCACATATTTATGCAGTGCCTGCTAGGCTCCCCAAGTCTTGACGCCAATGACATTTGATAAGAAATAATACGATAGGAATTAAATTAGTTGTGCACAGCTGGGATTCGTTTGCTTTTTGGACGGCTGAGGCCAGCCCGACCCTGCCGTAAACTCTTGCAGTGGAGCTCGGTAACCTCACGGCGGTTCTTAAGCACTTACACACGGGGACACGGGCACACGCCCGGACTCACTACCACCGTGTGACCCACACGCGCTCACGGACACGGTTTCCATGCGCACGTTTAGGACGGTCCCAGTGAGAGTCGGGGCCACGGGGCTGAGGTCCGCTCGTCCAAGTCTGGGCCTTTGCCGGGCGTGGAGCCCGAGCAGCCGTCACTGCACCCTGTCCTGGGGAAGGTGGCGAGGTTTCAGCTTCGCTAAACCTCAGCTTCCTCTCGTTTTGCAGAGTTGGAGGCCGGCGGTACGCGATCCACAGGGCTATTGTGACGATCCAATCACACGATCCCTGTGAAGCGCGTGTCACGGGGCACGGGGCACACACGGTGCGTGCTCTGAGCACAGCAGCCGTCCTGGCCGTTGCCCCCGGGCACAGTCTGCTCTTCCCTGCTGCAGCCGCACTGCATTCCAGAGAAATGGGGCCAGAGGATATCTGCCGTGGGCAGTGACCCAGAAGAGGAAGCACATCTGCCCCAGCCGGGGGTTCTAACTGGGGCGACTTTTGCCCCAGGAGACGTTTGCCAATGTCTGGAAACATTCTGGTTGTCATAAGTCGGCGGGGGGTGCCACTGTCATCTAGCGGGCCAAGGCCAAGCTGCTGAACATCCCACGGTGCACAGGGCAGCCCAGTGACAAAGAATGACGGCGTCCCAGACGTCAGGAGGGTTGAAGTGGAGAGACCAAGGCCTAGGACAAGGCCAGCCATCTGGACACAAGACTCCTGGCCTCTATGCACTGCCCGGGGCAGGCTGGGGGGGGGGGCTTTGGCACTCCCAGGCCTGGGCGTACCAGGAACACCCGGGAAAAGCATCCAATGGGGGGGTCCTTAGAGCCTCTCAACTCTGCAAAATTCTGGCAGGCAAGGGCAACATGCATAGTTGATGTGGGATGTACCCCAGATTTTCCTATTGCCTGAAGGTGTTCACTTACAGGAATTTGGCAAGATGTGCTTATGAAATAGGTACGCACAGACTAAGTGTTAGTAGATGTTAGTAGACGTTTAGTATACATGCAGGCTTTAAATTTCCATTTAATATGTAAAATAGCTTGTTTTAAAGGCCCCAGAAAGAACATGGCTAGCAGACAGAGCCAGGGACAGGCTGAGTGAGGCCAGAGTGACAGATTCAATTCTGCTTCTCCTTAGCTCGATGATGGTAGCATTATTTCTTCTGTGAACCCAGTTTCCTCACCCTTAAAATTGCTTCTCCACCTTCATTAAAGACTCAGTGTAGAGACCAACGAGCATATGTCTTGTAAATGTAGCTGAATGAATTGATGAAAGAATGACGTGCTTTGAAACTTGTGTAGGGCCACACAAATGTCCC